TCGAAACCACTTTTGGTAAAAATATTTTTGGAATCAATCTTTAGTAAAAACGCAAGTGAATCATAGAAAAACACTTGAAGTGCTTCATAGAAGAAGCATGAAGCATTTCAAAGTGTTTTTGGAACCCAAAAACATTTTCTCTAAAACACTTTCAATCATTTTCAAAGCACTTTGAAATGAGGGTTCTTAGTCTTATATTTATGAATGTGTAATGTGTACAATTTGTATGAACTGCAGTGATCGATGAATTGATCACTAGCTAGTAGAAGTAGGTAGTTAGTGGAACTACCATTATGGCCAAGATGCAAATGAGGTTCATCGTCCTACACCTAAATAATAAGGAAAAACAAAGCAATTAATGAGAGTGCATAATGTTCTTAATTATATATACATGGTAAAACTACACCAACTCTACTCCGAATTCTTGTCTCAATTCTCTTATATAAATAAGGCAATACATGGATTTTACACAAGTTTATAATATACTGAATTCGTGCAATATGAGAAAGTTGACATAAGAATTGAGAAAAGAGTTGGTATATACAATCAAATGTTTATCTTTCTGATAAAAAAAATAAACACATTTGTAAAACTAGTAATAAGATAGATTTTTTTCGTATATACGGACATTAGCAAAGTCAAAATAATTAAGTTTTCTGGGGCGCGCGCATGGGGTTTGGCAATGATGGAGGTTTCCCATATTGATATTCTTTTGCCTTTGCGGCAAGTTTGGCTTAGTGAAAGAGATTTGATTTGATTAGCTAAGTTATCATGATCTTTTGCTGATCCTAATTGGGAAAACACCATCTGCTGCATTGAAGAGGGACACCCACTTTCTTTCTTGGGGTTGGCTTAATGTGGACCTAATTAATTAAGCAGCAACATAACTTGGTGGTGGCAGAGTCCCTAATCTCAAGCTAAACAACCAGTTGGAGAATTTAAGTTTTGCTTGAATTCGTCCACTATATGCAAAAAGCAAAAGAATAAGAAGAGAGATTATTACTGTTCTTGCCAAAACAAAAGAAGTTTGCGTCTCTACATCTGTTGGAAGGAAACTAAAGGTAAGGGATTTGTGAAATAGTCAGCTTTATAGGTGGTCATCATGGTTGTACTAAAATTAAGGTAGCCTTGCTGTTTGCAATTTTGATTAGAAATTATACTTAGTCGGAGCATTCTCTAGACAACCATTAAAATCAATGAAAACACTTATTATCACATATCAACTGTGAATGCATGTTATAAAATTACATCCATTGATATTTTTCTTCGAAACAGTATTTTAAGTGTTTCCAACTATGGTAAAATATGAATTTATTTGTGGAAACCCTAAAAATTAACTGAAGCAATGTGTTTTACTACTAGCCATAAGGTAGGTGTCACATTTGAAAGCTAGAGCACAATGTCTTGGTGGCTATAGGGAAATGCATAGACCATGTTAGTATCAACATCAACTTAACCGAACTCTTAATGAGAGGTAAAACTCAAACTCCTTAATCTAACAAGAACATATATGTATGTAAGAGTAGTACCAACGATCTGCTCCCTCTTACAATCACTTCATCGTATGATGAGTAACACGTGAAAGGATAATTTTCAGAAAAAATGCATATATAGAACCCCTCAGCCCAAATTTCTAATTATTGTAAATACAAGGCCAAATACCTAAGGCAGGTATGATACTTTATTACTTCCAAGTCACAAACTCTACAAATAGAATACTTAAAAAGATTTCTAACTGAAAGTATATCTGAAGGGTTTCTACATATATAAGCCGTCACTACTACATGCCATTCTTTTCACAATGTGCACATTCTCCATCTATTGATCTACACACTGTAAATTAACTAGATTATGACGTAAACATGGGCAATTGCCATTGTTTAGATATGGGTTGAAATCTTTGAGCTGGCTGGCCTACATGTTCTCATGGATGATGTCATACGATTAAATCTGTAACACACACTAACATGGGGCTTTCCCTATCTCGTCTTTAAGAAGATGCATGGCCCTTGTCCCTCCGACGGTATGAGAAGCACGAAATCTAGGATATAGAATTTGATGGCATGTTCACGTTCTTACCATACTTGCCTATGTACGTCACCTCATGGGTTTGTAGTAGGGACCTGGCTTCTCTGCCCTCCTAGTTCCCATACACTCCTATCCCCTCCTATTTGAACAGTTACGATTAAGTCACGTTAATATTTTATATCATTATTGCTTTTTGTTTTATTATCTTTATAAAAAAAATCAATATAAAATATTGACGTGACTTAACTGTGACCGCACAAAATAAGAAGGGATGAAAATGTATGAAAACTGGGAGGGCAGAGAAGCCGGGTCCTTGTAGTAGCCCACCAATCTGCAGACGACTCATTCCAAAGCTATACCACGCCAAAGTTCAATAAATACAAGAATTCTCTCGGTGTGATTGTAACATAGTTACATGGTGCTGTTATCTCCTCAAGATCTTAATCCTCGAGACTCTAATCTTCGAATAACTTATGTTATACCGTCTTAAAATCTTAATTAACCCCGGTAAATCAACTTCAATGAACGACTAAGCGAAAATTAACCAATTACAAGACTCTCTCTCTCTCTCTCTCTCTCTCTCTCTCTCTCTCTCTCTGCGTCATGATTGGTGATTTGCTTAATATTAATGAGAGATTTTTTTAGTGTGACTGTCACACGAGATGGTATAACACGTGTCGTTATATAAATGGTGGGATATGTGTGTTAAAAAGTTAATAACTTAAAAAATAAAATTTCCCACCACTTACATAAAAACACATGATGTACCATTCGTGTTCTGGTCACAATTAAAAATTTCTCAATATTAACACCATGATTTTATTGACCATCTGTTTCTAGCTATCATACTCAAATAAAAACCAACGATTGTGAATGTGGTGGTCATTAGTTAACCACATTGTATGAGCACAACCACTAGCTAGCTACTGCATGACGAAAACTTGAAAAGGAAATCAATCTTTTTTTTTCCTCTTTCCCTTTGCATCGGTTGCAAATGGCCAAAATAAATGTCAAATTTTTATGGGTTACAGAAAAGAGCTATCAAAACTGTTGGGAGTGAATCCCACGTTGGGAAATGAGGAATCTTGTATGTGCTTATAAGTAATTAGGCTACTCCAACCATATTGCTAACTGGTTTTATGGTGGAACCTCAACTTTCTTCATAGTATCAGAGTAGGTTGTCTCATGTGTGAAGTCCAATAGCTCCATGTCACCTGATTTGTATACGTGAGCTTGAAAAGCCGTCACACGTGTGGGGGTGTGTTGAGAGTGAATCACATATCGGGGAAAGGTGTGACCTTGCATGTACTTATAGATAAAGAAAAACTAATGACAAGAGCTTCAAAACTTTGAGTTTTAATGAAAAAGACAAAAATGTGTTGTAAGTGAATACTACCAGGAGTGACTTTTTAGAGTAAAAATGTTATTTTCATTAAAAGTGAGCCGTACCGGAAGTGTTTTGTTAAGACTCCCTATAAAAATTGGACTACTTCCCCATATTGCCAATTAATTTTATGGTGGAACTTTAACTTTCTTCAAATGCAATATACTTGTCACTTTACCCAACTATTTCTACTATTTCTATTGTTAATTTGAAAAAAAAAAAAAAGTTATCCTTAAACCCTTCTCTATTCCGAACAACGTAGGATTCAAAAGTCTATGCCTAACTTCAGTTAAGGTGAGAGAATCAATCAATTATACCCCTCGTAGAAAAGGTTACTTATTAGTTGCATAGTATGAGTATGACAACGAATGAGAAACAGATAAATTAAGGATGGGACTGATTATGTGATAAGCATCTCCCTCATGCTAATGGGACACCTTTACTTTTCAGGTATTCTATACCAAAATCCATGTAGAACCTACTTATCTATTCATTTGTTTTATGATAGTAAGCAAAGGTTATAAAATTAATGAAAATGATACTTGTTCTTTACAAGTAAACATGCCGTCAATTTTGTTTAAAAGAGATTTATACCCTTTATTTTTATTTATTTTTATGAAGTTATAGGGCCATACTATATCAAATTATACCACATTTTCTAATCAAGGATTGGAAGAGACTCCAACTTAAGCATTAGTTAAATTATAAGATGACTCGATTAAGGGACACTTTGGTTAGAAATGTATGTTCGGCTTGAAAATAGTGCACTTAGGTTAGGGATCACCTGAATTTGTTGCCTTCATTTGAAACTTTGATTGAATAAGGAGCATTTTAAGCGAGTCAAGTTAGTAAATAGACTACGTGATTTCTACATGACTTCGAAAGAAAAAAAAAAATTGAGGGAAAGACTAGACCAAGAAGAGAGGAAAGAGACATTTATAAAGTAAAATTTCGAAACCTATGATCTTTTTGTGTTTTTGTTTTTCCATTGGGTTGATGAAATAATGAAAACTAAAATAAAATAAATATTCAAATCCTCTTCCTAAGACTATCTTCAACCCTTGGGCTAAAAGCCAAATTTTTTAGCCCGGAAAATTTGGCTTTTAGCCCAGAAACATCTTTTCTGCTCCAACCTGCCCTAAAATTTTAGCCCGGAATTATTAAAGAATGAACTTAGGCTAATTTTTTTCTTAAATCAATTTAAAAAAAATAAATATGTAGATTATTGTAAATTAATTTTATGAACATTTTAAATTCCGATAAACATTTGGCATTTAGCCCGGGGGAAAGCTGGGGGTATTTGGCCCAGAAATAACAGTTGGCATTTAGCCTAAAATTTTAACATGGGTTGGAGAGTGTTTGGGGGGGGTAATTTGGCTTTTAACCCAGGTTTGTAGATGGTCTAACAAAAACAAATTGTAGAAGAAACCCTATAAAAATGGTTTCACACTCCCCCTCTGGTTAAATGTCAATTTTGTAACTCATATAATTCAATGGACATAGAGACTCCTGTGGTCCTTCTCATTTGCCAGCATTTATGACTCTTGCTTACACTCTTTTCACACAACACCCCTCTCCTTCTCCTACCTTCTCTCCAAAGCCTAACATATAGGTACACCACGCTATATAAATCAGTATTCTGCACCTGCAAATCACCAACAAACATAACAGAAACCCTAATTTCATCAAAACCCACCTCATATTGCCTATATGCCGTCTTCTTCTTCTTCTTCTTCTTCTTCTGCCCTCCAATGGTTAAGCCTAGTGGGAATCATATGGCTTCAGTCCATCAATGGAACCAACACCAACTTCCCAGCTTACTCCTCCCAGCTCAAAAACGTCCTCTCCATGTCCCAACTAGAGCTCAACAACCTCGCGTTCGCCTCAGACGCTGGAAAATTCCTTGGTTGGTTTTCAGGCATTGCTGCCATCTACTTACCGCTCTGGCTAGTCCTCATGATCGGTTCGCTTCTCGGTCTAATCGGGTACGGTGTCCAGTTCCTCTTCATCACAAACCAAATCTCATCTCCTTCCTATTGGCAGATTTTCTTGCTAACTGTTATGGCTGGGAATAGCATTTGCTGGATCAACACTGTGTGCTATGTTGTTTGCATTAGAAACTTCCCATGTCATCAACAAATTGCCGTGGGGATAACAACGAGTTACCAAGGATTGAGTGCCAAGATTTATACAGATATTGTTGGCGCTGTATTTTCGTCTTCACCTCATAGAAGAGCCAAGGCCTACTTATTTCTCAACTCTCTTTTGCCACTTGTTGTTTGTGTTATCGTCATGCCATTGGTTCGAGACATTGATTTGATGGGAAGGCAAAGGAACATGGAAGCTGGGTTTATCTTCATGTTTGTGATAACAATTGCCACGGGAATCTACGCGGTGATCAGCAGTTTAGGGTCCACGTCTGGCGGGTTATCTCCCCTACACAATGTAATAGGCACCGGAGTATTCCTGTTAATCCCGTTGGTGATTCCAATTGTTGAGAAAATGAGGGAAATAATGTCAAGAAAATGGAACGTAAACAGAGAGAGAAGAGTATATAATTTTACCATAGAAGAGACGAACAACGAAATGGGGAGCTTGGAGAATGGGGCAGTGAAGGAGGGAGAAGAAATAGAGGCTAGCCAAGTTCATGAAGTTCGTGTTAGGGAGGAGATTGGAGTGAAGTTGATGGTGACAAGGATTGATTTTTGGTTATATTTATTTGTGTATTTTTTCAGTGCAACACTTGGGTTGGTGTTCTTGAACAACTTGGGACAGATTGCAGAGTCCAGGGGCTCATCTAGGACTTCTTCTCTAGTCTCTTTATCCTCTTCATTTGGGTTTTTTGGCCGTCTCATGCCTTCTCTTTTGGACTATTTCTTCTCAAGGTAACCCCTCCCTCTCTCATTTCTTATAATTTTTTACTAATATAAATATATTTTCTGAAGGACGTCAATTATATGCTCTATGTGTGAGGTGTTATGGATGTTCATTACTTCATATATGACATGTTATATTGTCAAATTGACACATAAAAAATAATTTCAAACTGACTAACCACTAAATATATAATATGTTACACTGTATGACAAGTGAATAGTTTTGATAAATTGGAAACGACGTTTGACATATGTGGGTGATTTATTTTTTCAGGAGTAAGTACATGATTTCAAGACCAGCATTAATAGTTGCATTAATGGCACCAATAGCAGGAGCTTTCTTCTTGCTTCTCAACCCAGCCAACCTCTCCCTTTTCATCAGCACAGCAATTATAGGAGTGTGTGCTGGAGCAATTACTTCAATCGCAGTGTCCATAACCACAGAGCTGTTTGGGACCAAGAATTTCTCAGTGAACCACAATGTGGTGGTGGCCAACATATCAATCGGGTCTTTTGTGTTTGGGTACATGTCTGCTATTTTTTATCACAAGGATGGAAATCATGATGGGGATGGGAAGTGCATGGGAATGGCTTGCTACAGAAGCACTTTTATTATATGGGGCTGCCTTTGTTTTCTGGGCAGTGGCCTAGCTTTAATGCTCTACGCACGAACACGAAAGTTCTACTCCCAAAGATCGTAGATTGTGATTTTTAGGGTTTTAATGTTTTAGTATTTTACTTTTTCTTAAAAAAGCTTAAAGGTAGAAAGAAAAGAAAAGAAAAGTACAGCTATTAATACAGCATAGAAACTGGTTAGATGTTGATCTAACTTTGTAGAAAGTAGGTTAATGACAAACCTGTATTGTTACACAAATATTATTATTTTCTGCATATAATTTGTTGTTGATGATGAACTCCTAAGGAGTACAATTGAATTGTTGAACCATATACAATATATACTCAAATGAATACGTATATAATCCATACTACATAGCAAAACTAAAGTAACATAGGGCTCGTTTGGATGTGTTTTTAAAATGACTGAAAGTGCTTTTAGAGAAAATTGTTTTAGATTCCAAAAGCACTTGAAGTGCTTTTTGCAAGAAGCACCAGTTATGTGCTTCTTCCAGGAAGCACTTTAAATGTTTTTCCATGATTTACTTGCATTTTTACTAAAGATTGGTTCAAAAAACATTTTCACCAAAAGTGCTTTCAATTATTTTAAAAATACATCCAAACAAGCTCATAGTTATTGATAGTATGATCTCACGTCGGAAAAGAGAAGAATACACAACAATTCCAACCCTAATCTACTACAATTCAAACCTTAATATTCTACTACAATTTTATCTAACTTACATGACAATGTTATGTGATATTTCCTGTTAATAAAATAAGAACACGTGAATAAAAATTTATATATATCTTTATTTTATTGACATAAAACAACCACCATAATAGTGATACTACTATGGGAAGTATGGGACCTCTTTTCCTGCGCACTGCATACCCTCAAAGCAATTCAACTCTAAAACTGAGCATGCATGTACATAATAGTATATGATAAAGCTAGGGGTCCACAGGATTGTTAGATGGAGGGGTGCGTATGGTCTGAGTTGTGCAATAGTATAATGAATACTGTTCCTTACTCTCTTACATATTGAATGCATCATGCCATCATCAGTCGCTAATTTTCGACCAAAAATATCAGTCGATAACTTGTAATTTTAGTGTCCAGGAATTTTTGAGGTTTGCCAATTTTCCAACATTTCCATTTCTTACTGTCTTTTGACTGATGCTTACGTTTGGCTGACCTATGATGACGTACTCAATCCTGCCATACGACCTAGAGTAATATCTTTGTCATTTTCAGACAATATTGACAGATCTCAATGATCTGCCACACGGGGAGCAACACACGGCCAAGGTTTCTTTAGACAACCAAAATTAACTGTTCTTCTATCGACACTAAACAGTTCTTGTACAATTCACACTGGTAACATTATTATAATTGTATTATGCCTTTTCTAGCCTAGGTGAAATCCCACATATCAGGGAAAAGTTACATGCCTTTCCTAGCCTAGGTCAATCCCACGAATTGGGGATCACGACTTGCATGCCATAAATTGTGGATATGTATCAATTGTAAAGTGTTGTATATATTCTCTGTATGAGGAACAGTTAGGCAATTGAAGAAAATCATTCACCCAACTGTCTATTACTCAAACCCTAGTCAATTTGCCTTTCAATCTTTCATTTGGTTTCTTAAGTTGGTATTAGAGCACCATCCTGGTGCCTGATTTCTTACTTCTCAAAAAAAAAAACACCATGTCAAATCAAATCAACTTTTCCCTTGTCAGAAAACACAAAATTCAATCTTTGAACACTATGCCAAATCAAACACTTCCAAAAAATACAAAACCCAATTCTCAAAAATTTTCCACAACATCACATGCATATTTGACTAAGCATCACATGATCAGCAAGGTATAAAATATCGATGATATCGGAAATATCGGTAGTTCAAAAACACGAAAATTTCGATAAAAATATCGGGATATTATCGATATCGATAAAAATTGAATAAAAACCACAAAAATTATAAGAAAAACTTGGAAATTTTTATTGAAACTTTGCAAGATGTTTATTTAATCAATTATCTATTAGTTTATCACAAAAAATTGGAAGAAAATGCATTGCATGATAGATATAACTGATTTAAGTTGATTATATAATGAGCTGGCAAACATTTGTGAGTGTAGAAAATATGTAGTAATTAATGAAAAAGTTTAAACACACCATAATCATTTATATATAATGAATTAGTACAATATTTTACACTTTATACATTGCATGGTAAGATACATGAGTGACTTAGCAAGGTCTAAAATATCGATGATATTGGAAATATCGGTAGTCAAAAAATATGGAAATTTCGATGAAAATATCGGAATATTATGGATATTTTAGACCTCATCATCACCAACAAATGTGTCATCAGCCGAAGCATGCTTCCAGCGCATACTGCCAACAAATGCAGCCAATTCATGCTGCCAACACAAACCGCAAGGTGCCTTCTTACATGTTGTCAATGCAACAAATGTCTCTGCACGTACACCCCCTATTTCCAATTGGGGCCCATCCATTCCATCTAACTCATTGCATGGCCTTTCCAGTGACCACCTACAACAACTTGCTCATATTGTGTCTATGATAAATCACAATTGTGCTTCCGGTAATCATAATGTTTATGCAAATACTCCAGGTCTGTTTTCTGTTTCTGTTCCTTAAATTCTATATTCACCAAGCCTTGGATTTTGGATAGCGGAGCTACAGACCACATCACTTATGATTCCACACTTTTCACTAAAACAAATTCATCACCTACACCCATAGTTAATCTACCCACTGGTTCTATTACCCCAATCACTTCCATTGGCACTAAACCATTTAATTCTGACATCACTTTGGATAATGTTTTATATGTCCCATCCTTCCGCTTAAACCTTATGTTTGCTAGCAAGGTCACTAATTCTCTAAGTTGTTGTGTCATATTGTTTCCCACTTTTTGTGTCTTGCAGGACTTGGCTACAGGGAAGATAATTGGCTCGGGTAAACAACGTGGTGGCCTTTATTACATGTCTCCAGTACAACAGACACCAGTTTCTTGCCAAGTATCACATCCCTCCAACTTATGGCACATGTGTCTTGGTCACCCTTCTCCTTCTCGCCTTAAATTAATCTCTCCTTTATTATCTTCACATAACAATTCTTTTGATAATTGTGGTATTTGTCCCATGGCCAAACAAACAAGGCTTCCTTTTCCCTTGAGTTCAATTTCAACTCATAGAGCATTTGATTTGTTACATTGTGATATTTGGGGCCCACATAAAATTCCCACACATTCAGGGGCTAGATTTTTCCTTACCATTGTGGATGATTTTACTAGATGCACATGGATATTTCTTATGCAATTTAAATCTCAGACCCAACACCTTTTGAAAACTTTCATTTCCTTTGTTCACACACAGTTTAATGTCAATGTTAAAGCAATCAGGGTTGACAATGGGTTAGAATTCTTATCCATGAAAGCTTTTTTTCAAAATAATGGCATTGAGTATCAACGCACATGCGTATATACTCCACAACAAAATGGGGTTGTCGAACGTAAACATCGGCATATTCTCACTGTTGCCCGTGCCCTTTGATTCCAATCCAACTTACCCCTCTCATTCTGGGATGATTGTGTCTTAACAGTTGTATATCTCATTAATCGCATACCATCACCATTACTATCCAACAAATCTCCTTTTGAGCTTTTATACAACCGACCACCATCTCTTACTTACTTACGAGTTTTTGGTTGTCTTTGTTATGCCACTGTTGTACAGCCAACTCACAAGTTTGACACCCGTGCCAAACGTTGCATATTTATTGGCTACCCTCTTGGTAAAAAAGGTTATACACTCTACGATTTGGACTCTCACACATTCCTTGTCAGTCGAGACGTAAGATTTCACGAAAATTATATTTCCCTTCTCAACATCATCTGCCACTCCCTTACAACCTCATGACTAAGGGTCTACATTACCCATCTCCACTGCCACCCTCACTGATTCACCACTGCAGATCCCTGCGCCCACATCACCCTCTCGCCACCCTATGTCAGCCGTGTCACACACACCCACACGACTTGTGCTTGACACACGGCAACACATGCCCCTACCATTCTCACTACTTGCCACGGGCCCACTGCCTTTTACCCCACCTGACGCCCCACTAAGCCTCATCAACCTTCAACCCACTCCTGACACCCCACCCTGCCTTAATCTGCCAGTTGTGGCCCCACCCCAGTCCTCGTGTCCTCCACCCAATACATGCCAAATGTCTGTCACACGCCAACCACCTATCACCCATCTACCTCTTGTGCCTTCCCACACCGCTCAATTACCCATTTCCATTGGCCTACCATCTACTGCCAACCCACATTCTGATGACACACCGTCTTCTGCTAGTCCCCCAACATTCTCTGATCATACAAGCCCACCTACTCCTCTTACAACCACACCCACTACTCATATTGGCCCGCCAACATCCCTCCATTCTCAATCCACCATGGCACCTTCACGACATTCCACCCGTCTTACACACCCTCCGACATGGCATAAAGACTACCACATGTCTAACCACGTCAGTCTATCTAACCTGGTGCCTCGTCCTTCAGGTACTCGTTATCCTCTCTTTGATTTTCTCTCATATTCTTGTTTCTCTCCTACCCAATTCGCTTTTCTCGCTAACATTACAGGTTCTACCGAGCCCACTTCCTATGCTCAAGCTATCCAAGATCCAAATTAGCAACAGGCCATGCATGCCGAATTATTAGCTTTGCAACAAAATCACACTTGGAGTATGGTTCCCCTACCTCTTGGTCATAAACCCATCAGTTGTAAATGGGTATACAAAATCAAATACAAATCTGATGGCACCATTGAGCGATACAAAGCTCATCTAGTTGCAAAGGGTTACACTCAGGTTGAGGGTGTTGACTATCAGGAAACATTTTCTCCTACCGTCAAACTCACCACCATCCGGTGTTTTCACTGTTACATCAGCTTGTCATTAGTATATCCACTAGTTAGATGTCCAAAATGCCTTCTTTCATGGTAACTTGCATGAAGTGGTTTACAGGGAGCCCCCTCCTGGTCTTCACCGATAAGGGGAGAACATTGTATGTCGGCTCAACAAATCTCTGTGTGGACTTAAACAGGCTTTCAGAAACTAGTTCTCTACTTTTTCAGATGCCATTCGGAAAGCTGGTTACTGTCAATCGAAGGCTGATTATTCTTTCTTTACCAAAGCACAAGGTACTTCCTTTACCGCAATCCTTATATACGTTGATGACATACTTCTCACAGGCAATGATCTTCAAGAAATG